AGTTCAACATCCTTGTCCCTTCTCCTGTAATGACAGGCCCTGGGAAAAAGTCTCTCTTCATCTTTCTTATAAGCCTTAAGTACCGAAAGGCTGCACTAAGCTCTCCCTGGAGCCTTCTCTTCTCCAGGCTGAACAAGCCCAACTCTCTCAGCCTTTCCTCATAGGAAAAGTGCTCCATCCCTCTGATCATCTTTGTGGCCTCCTCTGGACCTGCTCTAACAGGCCCATGTGTTTCAAACACTGGGGACTCCAGAGCTGGAGTCTCACCAGAGCAGAGTAGATGGGGTGAACCACCTCCCTCAACCTGTTGGCCATGGTTCTTTTCTTGCAGTCCAGGATGCAACTGGTTTTCTGGGATGTAAGCACATTCTGAAATAAATAAAGCCAAAACAAATTTCCTACATTATTAATCCGGCTTATTTCAGTTTTGATACTGTGTTCCCTTATGAAAGCTATCAGACCAATTTAATATGTAAATCAGGGAAACTAAAACCAGAGACATTTACAGCAGAGACATGATAAGAACAGTTTAAGTCTTAAAATTCCTAACGTGCATCGGAGTCTTATTAGCATGAATCTAATTATCTATTTTATTCACTCACGAAGGCTATAGTTTATTAGGAAATCAAGCATCTTGTTTCATAACAGATGCCACAATCACACCCAAAGAGTTTGGACATGGCATTAGAGAAATTACAATGGAGCCTGGTAGGAAGCTGTAGTCATCATCTTTTGTATGACACCGTTCATCTTTCCCAAACCCATGGCTGTACATCTATACCATTTGGCATGTATAAGCTCTTTAAACTGAATTCATAAAATAATAAAACCGACATTTTTCTTACTTGAGATTTCAGTGCTTGAAGCTGAGTTTCATAACTCTGAGCCATTTCATATTTAGTTTTCTCTAAGTCTTCCAATTTCTGTTGAAGCATTCCGACCTGCAGTTTGAATAAGCATTCAAATGTACCTTTTCTGAAGTGTTTCAAAATATGTCATTTTTGGAAAAGTAATTGGAGGCTTAGAAAGAAGACAGACTATTGCTTAAAGGAGAGATATTAAAAATATGCATTAATTCAGTAACTTAATAATAAAAGTGGCCACCACAAGCCCATATTGTGTCAACATCAAATTTTATTGTAAAAAATCTCATTGTATGCTTATGCTATGATTTAATGATAATACTGTATGAGTCTGTCATGAAGGATCTTTAATGAAAGCTTTTCTGACCCAACTGTACAAATGAACTGCTGTGCCTCATTGTGAAAATTTTCCTTGAATGGTTTATATAATCATATAAATGTCTTTCCACTACTTATGCACAAATTACTGGAAGACCCTGTAGACTCATTTCAGCTCCCTAAGAACAGTGCCATTTGAGACATCTTGAATTATTTTTGAGTTTCACAGAGATCTGGGGAATATGACAAAGTACCTACATGGCACCTATGCTTTTCTGATGGAGCAGCTGCAGCCTAGGTAGAATATGCTAAAATATTTCAGATAACATCTCTGTACAGATAAATAAATTGATGTTTTCAGAATTGGTTACATGAATTACTCTCTTGGCTCCTCTGACCACAGTGACTAAGGGCAAGCTCCTAATTGCTCATTAGGGAGTGTTACTCCATTTTCAGAACTCCCACTGGCAGTTCAGACCACAGGGATGCCCTTGTGTAAACATCTAGGTTCAGCTGTCTTGTACCAGAACTGAATGCTTTGCTAGGATTTCTTGATGCTTCTGCAGACAAGACTGTGAAGTATGGACAACATGAGGTACCCTGGGGTTTTCAGTTTCCTAAGTCTAAGTGGTAAGATAATGCAAAACTTCACTATTACTAAAATTATCATACAAAGACAGTATATCATGTAAAATGATAAAAATCAGGTATAAACAGGAGTTACAAAGACATCATTTTATGAACATTTTTGAACTGTGCTTTTCCATTTAAAATTTCTGACGAAACGAGAAGTGTTGGCATTTAGAAAAAGCATCAAATTATCTTTTTACAGCTAAACTGAGAATATTTGAGTTTGACTTTAGGGAAATAGAAGAAATATGAGATTTTCAATGACATTTTTACAATCACTTTTCAGAGCAGAAGCACACTTTAAAACAAAACACTAAGGATAATTAGTGACCTTTAAAGGGTGTTTGGTATTTTTACATGGTAGAACAAACGGGTCTCCTTACAGAGAATATAGAGTATACTAATAAGTAACAACCAGAATAAATACTTTCTTTATAGAACGTGATATTCTTAAATACCTCTTGACATTTTTGATCCAGTTTGCTTTGGGCACTTGCTAATTCTTGATCCTGGATATCCATCTTTTCTCCTAAAACTCTCATCTTTCTTTCCCATTCCACTTGCTTTCTGTTTACCATGATGTCAATTTGATGCACTAACTCCTGAAGTTCAGCTTCACAAGGAGAAGCTCTAAAAACATGAAAGGAAGAGATTTTTTTTTTCAAACAAAGAATAAGGGAGAAAACAAATTATTATTTATTTGCTAAGATTTAATTTTAATGCTGATGGAATTAACCACTTTTTGACATCTGAAACAGCGAAATGGGAAATTTAAACGTGCCTTGAAATGTAGGTGGAACCTCCCTTTATCTATCACACGTTCGCCTGCATGCTCAAATTTTGACTGCACTAAACTGAAAAACCAGCTCCTTAATATGGATATCTGTTTATCAAAATCTTTTATTTGGTGCTTAAATGCTGCATACACCTTGCTTTGAAAATTATTACAGGAAATTGGAGCATATCTGTTGGCTTTATAATATCATAATTAAAGCTCAACATGTTTTTTTAAAGTTAAATTCTTTAAAACTTCCTTTACATCAACAAATCCTTGAAACTATAACATTATCAATGTTAAGCTTGGAAAGACTATTTAAATGCACACATAAATCTTGATGTCTTTTTAATGTTAAGACTCTTAGCAATGCCATTTTGAAATTTAAGATGAATCATAGGATGATAATAACAAAGTGCAAACAAATAGTACACTGTGATGTATAGATCTCAAAATAAAAATACCCTCTTCCCAAGTGCCTGAAACTGATCTTAAAAGTAGTATAAATCATGCAGCAAACTTGGATCCCTTCTGGGTGGAATATAAAAATGGGATTTTGAAAACAGAAGATGAAGTGATACAGCATTAGGACTATCTGTTTTTTGGTACTGCTATAAGGACTTTTGGCCTCATGTAATGTACGTGGCAACACTTTGGTGAACCACCAGCACTGACTCAGGCATCTGTTCTTAGCCTTCAGAAATAGATACTTCATTGTGTGTTGCATGGATCATCTATAAATATAGTGATGCAGGTGGAAATGCAAATCCTATCCTAGATCATCAGATTGCTCTTTCAGATCCACCATGACTGACACTTGCTCTCTTAAATTTCACCTGTCTCTTTCAGATCATCCCACACAAGGCAAATTCTGCAGCTCTTTCTAGGAAATTTTCTCTCAGCTGTTCCTGCATGCTTCTTGAACCTAGAACCACTAATATATGAAAGGGAGCTGTTGAAAGTTTGAAACAGCTTCTCAGTTTATCTTCACTTCTCTAATTTCTTGCCTGGATCCTCTAAGTACTCTTGCAGCTGAAGAAGGAAAGCTGTACATGGAGGTGTAAATTACTGCTGCTGTTCTACTACCAAAACTACTCTACAATACTATGTATCATGGCTATGCTATTGCAAACAGATCTGCATAAAGTTGTATTTGGCAGTTATCCACACCTACTAGCACAGAAGTATTACTTGCTGCTGTAACTATGATTTCAGCCCATCAAATGTTTTGAAAAGTATGTTAACTAGCCCCCTCAGAATATGACAAATCATATGGCATCACAGTCATAAGAATTTGTTTTGATCACTGGATATGGAGTGTGGAAAACTCCAGGTAAACAAACACACAGAACAAATTTTCCCAGAGAGAACAAGTATGCATATGGGTTTTTTACCCACCTGGATTCAGCATTCCCACTTTGCTGAATGCATACATCACATGGATTCTTTATACAGGGAAGTCATGACTTGTACTTAAGCAAATGGCAGCTATTTTTTTTGGGTGTTCATTTACATTGAAACAGCTCACAACACTTACTGCTATCTCATTTTAAAGTGATTTAGGCAAGCTCTTAGTCTTCTTTCATTTTATCTCCATATAGGTGAAAATAGAGATGATTCATATTCTACTGTCATTAATGACTATTTATTTTCATGTAAACTAGATCCTTCCAAATTTAGACAAACCAAGATTCAGGCTAAAAGTTTTACCAACTCCAGGCCTTTATCACAAACCGTGTGTGCACTGGTTCAGCCTTCCTAGCTCTATTTATCTGTCTTTTGCTTTGGAGTTCTGACAGATCTGTATTTTTCTGATTGTTTCCTAACAGACATAGAAAGAATATTATTGTTCATACACTTTAGAATAAAGTTGCCATTTAGAAACTGACATTTTAAGAAATGTTTGCTTCATACTGTCTGTCTTGGCTTCATGCCTTCTTCTCTTATCCAGGTTTGCTGACAAAATAAGGAAAATAAGTATGGCCATATTTATGCAAACACAAACATAACCTATGCAGTTAACAAATATTTCTATCTTGCATAGTATATTCATTAGTTTTTGATATTTAACCCAGCATCTAGAGCCAATATTAATTCATTTTAATATCATAAAACTTGCTTTAAAAATAGGAATACTTAAACCAGTTGTCATATAATAGTCCATTAGAACCCCCTACCCTAAAGCTCCATTATAAGACCTACAGCTAATTTCTTTAACAATTTTCAGCTATACAGAACCATACACATATGTGGACAGATAACTTGTGTTTTAGGAGTTCTTGCAGTTGGGATATAACTGTCATGATTTCCAACACCATTACTCAGGCATCTTCCCAAATTTTAAACCTACTGCATTATCTCTGCAATACTGTCAGCACAGAGTGAAATGAATGTCTCCTTTCATTGGATGTGTATACTCAACTACTCTTCCAGATTCTTGGCAAAGTTAATGAAAATAACTACCAAGAATTCTGGTTTACAATGGGACAAATCACTCCAGATTCATCTGCAATAGCCTGAAATTTCATATATGTTGATTACAACAAAGGCAAGCCAGAATCTGAACTCTCGCAATAGGCATCTGATATGTAAAAAAAGTATACGAAGAATAACAATATTTTAATGTTTTTTTAATTCAGGTTTTTATATGACTCCATTTACCAATCATATCACTAACAAGAAAAAAGGCCATACTGTTCAGTATATATTGCTTTACTGCAACAATTCTCTGTCATGAAAAGCGTGCAAATGCTTCTGCAGTACAACAGACCACACTTTCAAATCCCATTAAAAACTCCTTTGTGCCAGAATAAGGTGTGATAGAATTCACCTGTTCCTGTTATTTTAAGAAATGCTTTCACACTTGATATGCATCACATTACCTTAGACTGATTCTTGGCAATAATGATCAAATAAACTTCTTTATAAGAAAAATAGGTAATACAATTAATTACAAATTATGATAAATATTCTATTTAACTCACTATATGGGGAAATACTTCTGTGTTCTTTGAACAGGATGGATGGGATGAAGTTCTACATCAAATCTCACCCATATTTACAATTCTTTACAAAGATTTTGTGATGTATTAATTTTTTTTTCAACTTAACACTAAAAGAACTAAACTTGGATTATGTAAAAAAAGAGATGATGTGTTGTGATGAAAAGAGCACTTAGCACCTGGGAAGAACAATTGTGGTTATTATCCGTGCAAAAGAAACTAGGGCTTTAGCAATTAATAGCCTTGTTTTCGAGATTTTTGAATGTTTTAAGAGCTGTGATATGTAAGTCTATACTGCTGTAGCCTAGCAACTTCAACTGTTTTTAAAAACAGTTTAAAGAACATTCCTTAGCATCAAATAAAACCCCACATAGCTTTCGTTTCCCCCCCCTTGTCCCCTGTCCCTCCCCCATTGTTCAGGTATGAATATGTAAAAAATTTAAATGACTAACAGAAACAGTGAGTAGATTATTAGCTAAGACAGTAAGGTGTGCTGTCTTAATTATCAGTAGCCTCTCCATTTTGCATAGAAGGCAAAAGAAATTGAGAATCATGTTTGCTTCTGAAATAATTTATATTTTGTTTCACATTTTTAATAAAATACATAATTCAATTCCATTATATATTCAACTCTCAAGACAGTAAGTCATTCCTTACTTAGAGAGAGCTTGTTCTTGAAACACTTCTAAGTCCTCTTCCATGATACTTATTGTCTTTTGGACCTGTTGAAACACCAAAACCCACATAATCCAGATTTATAAATGCATGCATTTACACAGCCAAGTAGTGCGTATCAGATAGTTCTATGCTTTCAATTTCCATCATTTTCCCACTGCAAACCACAAGGACAGGGGAATGCAGCTCTAATTACAGGCTGGGATGGGCAAGATGAAAACTTCGGGAGTAAGCTCTTGCACTTGGTGCAGCACTGAGATACTAGAAGTGGTGCTACCTTGAGGACAGCCCTGAATTTTCATGAGGAAGTTTGTTTCGGATCATTCCCTGTTGTGTTATGTCAATGATTTGCAAAGATACTCTGAAGCACATAAACCTAAATTTGCCATAGATCCACAGCTGCATTCACCAACCCTTCCTCCTAGCTTCGCACACCATAATTAACCCACCCCCAGCCTACAGCCGCTCTCAAACGCAGTTGTGGACTCCTACTGACTATTTGCTTGGCAGGTGCTGTGCCGAGACGCACAGCCCCAAAGCTCCTCGGCAGAAAGATGAGAAAAAGGATGTCACCGGGACCAGTCCGGGTCTGTGGAGCAGGGCACAGGGATGTGGGGCAAGCCTGCCCCCCGGGACCCAGCCACACCATGGGCGATGCGTAGCACCAAACAGCCTCAGTTCCCGTGGGGCTGAGCAGCGGAGCTCGCAGGGCAGGGGCGCAGAGGGGCGGACACTGCCCGCCCGGGCTGCGCGGGGACCAGGACCCTTGAGC